ATTTAAGGTGGTTTGGAACATTAAAATATTATATATATATACATACATATATGTATACGTATAATTGTATATGTATAATTGTATATGTATATGTATATGTATGTGTATATATATATATATTGCTACTTTTTCGCAGTTGACCTGAAGTTTGAATGGGTCAGTCCTGAAAAATGTCGCTCCGAAACCCGATGCAAACAAGAAAAGCATTGGGCTCTTCCCATTCCGGTCGAAGCTATATAGTGGATACTTTGGGCTACCTCCCTGCGTCCAAATTTCATGTCCAACCGTTTCACCTTTCAAAATCTTGTCTGGTCGAGAATCCAAACATTACCCAAACAATTTTCCAAGAGTGTAGCCCGCCGACCGGTAAGAATGGAATTGTACACGTATGCTGAAGAAAAGGGTTGCAGCCTCTTGGAAAAGCACCGCCTGTACGTAATGCTCCCGAAGGGAAAGGAAAGAAATTGAAATCAAAAGGGCTTCAAAGGAAAAGAACAGAAGGAAATTGGTCGAGATGTCCCAAGGTTGGCATTCTTGCAGACCTTCAAATTGGTTTCGATCAGTGACAAGGGACACTGATCGACGGGCAGCACCCTTTTGCTCTTCTGGACGACTCCTGCTCTCTTCGCAGGTACTCCCCCTTTACTTGAGCCAAAATTTAAGGACAGAGGTGCCCGCGGCCACCGCCAATCTTCAGGATCTCGGTTGGAATCGCAAGAAATTTCTGCCAGGCATGGGTCTGATGCTTTATCGTCGTTGATCGGCAGTCTCCGAATGAGATCACCCCTACAAAAATTGGGGGGTAAATCCACCCTTTGCAGACATACCTGACATACCCATATCCCAGTATGCTTGGACTCCCTGGCGACCTGGCTGGTAGCGGGCCATCTTGAGATAGCGAGCGCCAGGACTCTTTTTCCCGGTACCCGAGCTCTTCCGACCTGCACGAGCCAGGTAGAGTCACTAGATCTGCCACATTTGCCACATTTTTTGAGGTAAAATCTGGGGATTGGAAAAACCATGGGTTTTTGGCCAATCTACTGACAACTGATTGAATATTTAGGAGGTTCCTGTAAGCGTTACAGTGAACCAATTCAGAGATAAAGTGGTGATTCCAAGCCACTGGCTTTTTCGGGATGACTTTCTCGAACTGACCCGGTTTCTATGGACAAAGCTCTAGCCCTCTGATGTACAGCTTCACGTACAGGATTGATCTATAAGCCCCAGCATGGCATATTGTGGCATATCATGGTATATCTGCCCAAAAAAATAGGTATGTATTCATATATATTCTAGATGTAAACCAGCTTAGCCAACTAAATCCGATTAAAACGCACGGATTCCCAGTAAAACTTAAAACCCATAGTTATACTATATATATATAGTTATATATATATAGTTATATATATATATATACATAGTTGTCAACCAATTTAACAAACAAACTGGGGCACCATCGTATTTTTGTAGGTCAGCTTCCATCAAGGCCCCGAAGATTTTTGTCGCACCGTCCAGACCGCTGCTTGGGGCCATGGATGACACCGGCGGAAGATTGAAGCCTGGACACGGCGTCACGACGTCAGCGAGGTGGGTCGTTTAACGGGGCCAACAAAAATCCACCCCTTTGGGTGGAAAATCATGGGAAAAACCATGGGAAAAATCATGGAAAAGCGCCCCTGAAACATGATCTCCCACCAAAGGGGATGGTGGTGTAATTGAATGTCATAGAAAGCCAAATGAAATCGACCCCAGAATGCTTGGTCAAGAAATGGACATGGCCCAAAATGGCAACGTTGCATTGCCTGTTGTTTCAAGCACTCTTTCCAGACAGGCAGTTGCTGTTCAAAGTCATGCTGCAAAACATCTCAACAAGCAGCCGCAAGTGCACTAGCACGGCTGAAACGTCTGGGGTAGAACTGCAATTGTGAATCGCCTCCGAAATGCGCAGCGACACTTCAATTACCCTCTGGTAAACGTTTACATAATAACTATGGAAAATCACCATTATTCATGGGAAAACTCACTATAAATGGCAATTTTAAATAGCTTTTTGTATGTTTACCAGAGGGTATTTCTTCCAAACTTCAAAAAATCCTCAACTTGCGCCGCCGCCTTTGGAGCCTCCGGCATTTTCTTTGCCAAAGGACGGCCTCTTTGGCGAAGCGAAAGGCTGTGCGGTACCAATCGAGAAGGAAGCCCCAATTTATGGCAATGTTCATGGGAAAAATATGGGTATGGATCAATACCTATTAATACCATTTTTAGGGGGATGAACATCCATTTACCAGCTATTTTGATGTTCACCAGGGGTACAAGGTTTTGACACACTGCCATATGGAAAGACTGCAATTCCAGTGAAATCCCCATGTTTTGTTCGCTTCAAAACATCCCATGGACACCCCAAGAGATGGCCTCCGACCAGAATTCGGATGGCCATGGTTTCCATCCTTCCAGCCTTGGTTCCGCTGAAAGCATCAAATTTTCATGGGGATCATAACCAACCATATGGATATGATGGGGACTATACTATATTTGTATATATATATATGTGTGTGTGTGTAATATATATATATACATACATATATATATATACATATATATATACATATATATATATATACATACATACATATATATATATATTATATTTCTATGAATATCACTGACAATATAATACAATATATATGGTATTTGCAAGTGCTCGCATCTGGAAAAAGTCGCAGCTACCAACGTGGGATGGTCGCTCCAAGTGATGAGAATGGGGGAAAAAAAATCGGGAAGTCCATCTCTGGGAACAAAAACAGGACCATCCATCCTTCCGACCTGAGCTCCAGGCTACCTTTGGTATTGAACAGCGCATCCCCACCGGTAAGGCTATTGCTTCCGGTGGGAATGGACCTGGCTAGAGCTGCTTTCCACCATGGTTCCCTTACCCTCTGGTAATTTGTTACATAGCTATTGAAAATTGCCATTTATAGTGGATTTTCCCATCAAAAATGGTGATTTTCCATAGTTATGTTAAATTACCAGAGGGTACTACTTTTCCAACCTTTCCCTGTCAGCCCTAGAAGCGTCCAGTTGTCCCAGGCCGGGCAGACGGTATGCCGCCAGGTCTGGGTTTGCTGCCCTGAGCGGAATTGGAATGGCAACGTTGAAATTACACCAGGTTTAAGTAGTCTATGATTCTAGGTTCACTAACCTAAATTAATGATTAATCTGAAAGCTAGATATCTATATATAATTATGTATATATATATATTTCATAGGGGGGCTATAAACTGACCTGTCACTGGAATTACACCTGGTTTGTGGATAGAACCGATTACAAATTCTAACTACTTGCCAACTACTTCTGAGTCAGGTTACAAAGTAACACCAATCAAATCCTGAGGTAAACTATATACAGTTCGCAGTTCTGCAATGTTAGGAACTGTTAACCACCCCATAATGGCCAAACCATTGCCCCATTTTTCTGATTCCAATCCCGTTCCATGATATTCTATCACCATCTTGTTGGGCTTCGAAGGTTCGATTTTTGTGAGACTGGTAGGTAATCTGGTAGATAATCATCTCACTATTTCTTGGTGGCCTCGTACTTCAACCCATCTTTCAAGTGGTGAAAAAAATCGTAGCCTGAACTGGGGGGGTTCTTAAAATAAAGATCCCAAGTCACCATGGGTTGTGTCAATATGGCTATGAGTCAAAACCTTGTACCCCTGGTGAACCCCAAAATAGCTGGTAAATGGATGTTCATCCCACTAAAAATGGTATTTTCATAGGTATTGATCCCTCCCCATATTAAGTCATGGTCATACGACTGGGGCGCCCTGGCGCTTGGAGCCATCCCGGACGGCGCGCCACCCGAGGGGGGCATACCACTGGCCATGCCGGCCATGCCGCTGGACGCCACCGGCACGGACGCACCGGCCTGTCCGGGTGGGTTTATGCATCGTTTTTTCATATGATGGAGATGTACCCTCTGGTAAATTAACATAGACCCTGAAAATAGCCTAGTTTTAATGGAAACTAATCTTCCAACCCCTATCTGCCAGGGTCTATGTTAATTTACCAGAGGGTAATTAGGAATAAATGATGGGTATATGATGGAAGAAAAAAAATAGATGGACAGATGGATAGATAGGTAGGTAGATGGCTAGGTATATTGAGGTAGCTAGATAGCCAGATAGCTTAGATAGCTATATAGATAGGTAGACAAAGGCATCAAATATCATGGACATTAAGAAAATTGGATTTTCAGGGAACTAACAATCTCAGATATGAAACGATTTGTTTCTTGAAACACCGATGTTTGTTTCCAGATATGGTTATGTGGCGGTTGCCTGTATTTTTTTCGTTAAACCAATTGTGGGACTGCCAGGAAGAACAATTTGTTCAGCTGGTATGGCCAGTTTTCTGGTGATACAAAAGCACTGGATGAGGTCCATAATCCTGACCTGCCAATCTACCGCTTAAAATCTGGAAAAAAAAAACACGATGTAATGAGGCTCTGCAAACTGAGAACCTGGGGCGTCTCGCATCGCAACCTTTCTACCAGCTTCCCAGCGGCCTTTGGCCGAAGGATCTATGTAGGGTGAAGTCTGGACACTTTGGCCCAGCAGGCTCCAAATCTCGTGGTGTGGTATGACATGCGATAGCCTTTCTATGGCAATGCCAAGTGACCAAAAACAGCAGGCGATATGGATCCACTTGATCAAAAGCTGGATTACAAAATGTCGGGGTTGGCCACAGCTACCAAGAAACGTCACCTGGACTATACCGGCTTGATGGTAGATGACCGTCAAGGCGGGCTTGTAGCCCAACGACTTGTGCGCTATCAAACGCTATCCACGGCTGTACAAAAAAAAAATTGAGTGGTGTGGTTGGCCGGGCATGAAAACACCTCTGCGACCCTGTCGTGTCCTAGATCATCAAGATTGAAAGAAAAAAACCGTTCTCCATCAAGAAGTTTGCAACACTTCAAAAAAAATGCTATCACTATACCCATCCTACCATCCTGCAACCACCAGATTTCACCCCTTATGGGCACTGCTCATCCTCTCCTCAACGTCAAGGAGATGGCAGGATCAGGCGCAACGACGCCTCGGATCCTGTAGCCTTCAGGTTGTGGACGTAGCGTGTCGTCTCGGACTCCTTCAGTCCATGCTTGGGCTTTCGCAAGGTCCTCAGGATGCTGCTTCGACCCCAGGGGGAAAATGGGGGCCCCAGGATGCTGGAAGGGCATCAGGCCTGTTCTCTACTTGCTGGAAGGGCCCCTGAAAAAAACCGTTGGTTATGAGATGTCAACAAACCAACAAGGATGGTGCACCTCCACCTAAAAATCCCATGAATTCTGATGAAGAACTTCCGTGGGAAACCCGCCAAAAACGTCCAAGAAAAAAATGACCCCATCGGCGGGTCAAAATGTTGTGCCTTCAGAATCCAGAGTCTTTTAGCCTGAAATTGTGCCCATAAAAATCAACAAAAATCTCCAGTCCAAGTGTCACACTGCATGGGGGTTGCACGAACCACCCCACCTCATGTGATGTCGCAGATCCCCAGTTGTACTTCTCTGAGGGGCAGCAACTGGACCTAGTAACCGGCCGCAGCGGATCTCATCCGAACTGTCTCTCAGAAAAGATAGATGTCCCTTGCAGGTTGATTATATCTGGTAGTTGAATGTGCATCAAAGTTGGTAATTGGCTTTAAAAAATGTTTTAAATGAACTGTATAAATGGGATAACCCCAGAAAATAGAGACTTGCGCAAACTTTCAAACCATGGTGACATGAACTAAATCAGAATTCCTGTAATCCACATCGGAAGTACCTATAATATGTTTCGTTCGTGGTTTCAATCCAAAAAATTGGTCTAGAAGTGATACAACGCTATGGATGTAGCATGATACAACTATGACCAACATTGCACTTTAGGGCCTTAGGCCTTAGGGGATACTTTGGATTTTCCACCCATCAACAATGCCAGTGGATTGTAAAGGGTATGACTGGCCTCCTGACGGCAACACAATTAATTGGTTGCATCTCCATTGTTCATGTTGTTATTAATGATCCAATTGTGTTGATTGATCTAAAAAATAGAACTTAATACATCTTGAAACAGAGTCTCTGAGGGCATTTTGAGGATGATTCCCCATACAAATCTCACCATGATGAGTCTTTCTTCAATGATGCAGAAACACATATGGCCCATGTGGCTTTGTCTGAGAATTGGGTGCCCCCCAATCCACTGCTTCACCATTTTCCCATATTTTTTGCAAACATATCCCGTGATAGTCCCATAAAAGTCCATTTAAAATCCATCATATCATATATATATATAAATATAATATATATATATATATATTCATATATCCCATGTTTTTTCTATCGCCCTTTTCAAAATTCACCTCACCAACAGCTTCTCTAACAGCTTCTCTATCCCACCTGGTGTGCTTTCGCAGGTTCTGCTGCAGGCTGCTGATGGAGAGATACTCTCGGCTTTTGGGCGACGCCGCCACAGTGCCACAGGTCGCCTCGGGGGACACGGTAACAACGGCGGCTCGCAGAATGGCTTTATCGTGTCACCGGAAACCAAACGCGGTGGAAATATGTTGAAATCACTAAAATTAAAAAAATTGGAGGACACAAATAAGCAAAGACAACGGAAAAAAATACTCAGAATTGCCGTTTCAACCAGCAAAAATCCGGAGTTCGCATATTTACCAACATTGGATGAAGGGCAATTGACAGGAAACCCCGCCAAATGTGTGGTGGACAAGCAGCCTCGGCTGTTATCCCTCACAAGAGCAATCACTGCCGATTTTCTCCGGACCCATGCATGTGCGGCGCGAATGCGCCTTAAGCGACGTCCTAAACCCGAAGAAACTGAGACGGCTAGCGGAAGGAAAATCAGCCTTCAAGACAGGAAGGACAGTCTTAACCATAAACCTTATGACAGCAATTTCGCAAACAACGATCGAGAAAGGTCAAATCTCCCCAATAGCATAATGGCAACACATTAAAGATCTAGAAATCCATCCCAGCCATCATTCGCTGAAAAATACCTCCCACTCACATTAGTTCCAGAATATGCGACTTCAAAAACTTCTTACATACAGCGGCAAAAACCACCGTGGCTCCAGGGGCAAGGATTGGGATACCTGACAAAGATTCCCAATACCATGCTACATCGCTGTGTGAGATGTGAATGGTGTACCACGCCTGAAATAGTTCTAAACTCCGAGTCCAGTAATGGGGAATGGGAAAAAAAGAAACCGGTTTCCAGACATGAACAAAATAGCCACACCAAAACCCAAATAACCAACATCCCACACAGATAGTGATGTTTCAGAACTGAAGCTCTTTCAACAATGCTGCTGCCATCTTAATCTTTGCAGCGATTCGTGTGGGTGGTGCCTTCTGGCCATATCTGGTCAAAAAACCGTCCAACCGTTTGCCCGCTGGCTTTACAGCTTGCAGCTGCGACTCGACTGCCCCTACCGTTAAAGGTTTGTTACCAAAATTGACAATATGCCCAAGTTCCGCTTCTAACAATTTCAAATAAGCAACAGGGATCTTATCAGACTGAGCAGGCTGGGGTTTTCCCTTACCTTTAGGCTGAACTTGGGTCTTACATTCCTGCTGGGGTAATGGGGGAATTTCAAGACCGCTGCTTTGGGCAGGTTGGATCTCTGGCGCCGCAGCTGGAGCCGGAGGGGAGACTACAGGTGCTGGCTGTTGCTGAGCACTAATCTTTTGACGTTCTCTCTCCTCCAGGCATAAAGCTAAGGCTTGCGCTTGCAAATGTCTCTCCTGCCAAGCTGCCGCTTCTTGTTTTTGTCGCTTGTATTCTTCATATCCAGGTGAGTTTTTGGGCGGCTTCTCAGCAGATCTCCGTCGATGACGGTCAGGGGTCCTAGAGTCACTAGAACGTCGGCGACGTCGACGCCGTGAGTGAGACGATCCCCGGCGATCATGGCCATGGTCATAGTAATCATACTCATAAGAGGAACGGTGGGAATCTTTGTGGGAACGACCATCATATCTCCTACCTTGGCCTTTGGCCTCACGTTGACCTTTTCCTGCTTCTGCTATCCACGTGCCAGCAAACAGGCAAAGGAAAAACATGATCTTCATGGCAGGCTTCATGCGATCTGGGCACGGCCGGTATGGGAGTGAGAAACACAAAATCTCCTTTCTTGGCAAGCCAAAAATTGCTAGGCCCTCACGCGACTGTGCTTGGAAGGCCGTTCAAACACTAGAGAGAAGCATTCCAGGCCCCAAGTGAAGCAACCTATAAATCCACATTCCATAAAGGTATGAACGCATTAAATATATAAATAACCCTTCTCCACCAAAACATATACAAAGATAAAACAAAAACAAGAGCATAAACAAATATTTATATATCTATTTTACTAGATTGCACCGAAAATTCACTGCTCAAGGATGAAACTGCTTAACTCCCTTGAGATTTAGGGCCATGCTTGCAAACATTTCTAATGGCTTTGCGGAGCTTTAGGAAAATTGGATGGGCTACAGGCAGAGAATGGACTAGAGCCCTCAACAAATGAAGCGGATACCCTTCCAAAATCAATTCTTGCAATTCTTCTGCGAGGAGTTGCAGCTGCACACCACAAGGCAACTCTAATTCTCGGAGCCTTGCTAAGCGGCCCAGCATGAGACATCTTAGCAATCCAAATGAACATTGCAACCGGCCTAAGAATGGTACGAACCGCTCCTTGGTTTTGTCTCCTGCACCTTGGATCCAGAGTCGGTTAGGGTTCTTAGCTGTCCAAGTCACTGCTCCACTCGCTGGGTTGATGGTGAAAACCAAATCTGTCCAAGTCTGCTGAATCTCTTCGGGGTTTGTTGTAAATTTGACAGAGTAAATGTTCGCCAGCCAAGCTTGAAGACAGTGGTGGCACACCGCTTTGGAAACAAGGAGGGGGTCATCAACGTATCTCAATCCAAAGAGGAGTTCCTCTACTTCCCAGTCTTGAGGGGCACCGCAAATCCGCATCCAGCCAGATTCCAAAAAATTGTCCTCTTCATGGCTTAACAGGCACACAGCTGCGATCATACTCAACAATCCCCCAATAACTAAACCCTTAGCTCGAACAACAAGGTTCCCTACACTTGCAAAATTCAACATACAGCTACCTTGCAACATGCGTCGAAGTTGGTATACTGTAAGCACCACCAAGCCCCGGGACCGGGTATGCTCCGAACCGCCAGGCCAGCCCCGAATGGGCCGCTGTCGAGACACTGTGATGGATACAACACCATATTTGTGCCGTAACTGTTCAACCTTAGCATCAAAAGCTTGCAGCACCAAATTGCTATTCACCTGCTCATACATTTGCGCTGCATCTGCCACCAGTAATGTTGTTGCGTGCTTGGGGCCCTTACAGCACACGCACATCTGCGGGCAGGGCGAGCTGCGTAGTCCCGCCATCTTCTGCTGAAAGATTGGAACCACCTGTTTTAGCTTCCATACTGAGAACCCGGGACCAGTGACGCGGATCAGAACTTGTATGGCACGCCCTGCGAGTCGCCATGCCCTTCGCCACGGAGCTCGGAAAAAGGATACCACTTTGCGGAGGCAACTATGGTTCTTTTTCTTGCAAGTATGACCACCCGAAGCTGCAAAACACTTAGTTTTCACAAAAGGGTACATATATGGTGCAAATGACCCTTGGGGCAAAGGGCCCCGTCGTAGTGCTGCAGGCAAAGCAAACAGAGAAACGCCATGCACCAAAATGCTAAGCTGTTCCAAAGACATGGAAGTGGGCTCCCATTGTGAATCCAGAAGGACTAAGCAAACCAATGTTGTCGCTAAACAAGCAAAAGGCATGGTCCAAGTGGACTTTTTGTCCTTGTCATCTTGCAACAATACTTCATCCTGTTTGGAGACTAGGGCGGCGATATAGCGAGCTTCTTCTTCTGGCACTACGTCAGGAGCACTGTTCGCAGGCTTTTCCCATGCTTTGGTGCCGACACGGCTCACGCGTCTGGGAAATCTGTTGGTGAGCAACCACGCTTTCAATTCTCTGTTTTGCCCGGATTTGTTGGCTAAGGCCACTTGCCTGTCAGGAATTGCCCAATTGCCAGGGATCTTTTTGACCTCAGCACCTTGGCGCCAATGTTCCCATTCAAAGCACCCTTGTTTCCAAATCTCTCCAATGGAAATTTTCTTCGACCATTGCACCGCATTGCGTTGATCACTGAGGCGAGGAAGCGCGCCAGCTGTAAAATGTACCCTTTCTATAATCCACCGGTACAAGAATGCCCCATGCAACTTGGCAGCAGACCTCGCAGCTAGTCGGACAATTGTAGCTAGTCGCTTCCGATCACTGGCATCAAAGCATCGGAACCAATGGTGGCGCCGAGAGGGCAAATTGAATCTCGCCAAAAGCCAATCAACACGCCGGAAGCCATTGCTTTGTCGGACATATCCGCGCACCAGTTCTACTAAGCGGGCAAGCCTGAGCACCGCTACAGCAGGCTGCCTCCGTTTGAGGAGCAAATGCAAGTCAAGCGTGGCATGTCGAGAGCAAATCCAAAGGGCTAGAAGTCCCCCCTGACGAGCAGAATAGATAGAAAGCGGACCCTGCTGGCCAGACTTGGAGAATAAGTGCTGTTGCTTCCGTCTATAAGCCACTGTGAATGTCTGAGCTGTCCAGGCTGGCGCAAGATTTCCAAAAGGTCTGATCTGCTTGTGTTTCAAAATTGACCACACTTGGTTCATACACACGGACGAGTTCCAAAAAGGCTGGGCACTTCGTTTGCGGAAACGCGGAGGAGGACGTCTACGTTTTCGTGACGGCCGGGCATCTCGACGATTTGATTTGCATTGTCCATGGTTGCCAGGAGGTCGTAAAGTGCGGATAGCCACAGTCTCGCTCGCCTTGATCCAGTCATGCGGCCCTTTTTTCAATACAAGGAAACACACTTCTCCAATCGGCTGCTGACGCAAGAGAATTGCTCGGACAGACCGCGCTGCTTGGGAATGCACCCGCAGAATGGAAGTGAGATGCTCCATAATTCTGCATACAATTCCAAGTTTGCCGTTCTGTCTCCGAAGGAGTGCTTTCCCAATGTACCAAGAATGTTGATTGAACACCGTATAAACACAAGCTTCATCATTCACCCCAGTTGTCTCCAAACACTGTCGTAAAAGCGTGACGGTTGCAAAAACTACATGATGGTCTAGGCTAGGTTGTAAAAGCAACTGGCGCAAGGGACCTGTCATCACGTGAAAAATTCGCCTGGCCCAAGTCTTGCCACAGTTTAGACTTGTCTGCAACAAGCCTTGCATAGTCATCACTGAAGCAAGCACAAGTGTCAACCCAGTGTTGTGCCTATGCGTCTTCATATCTGGCGGAAACAAAACCTCTATCAGCCATGATTGAACCTTTTGGAGGACCCGGATCACCCGCTGTAAGCGGAGAGGGTTGAGCAAAGACAAGCCTACCACATCCCACATGTCATCAAGCAATATCTGTTCAGAGCCCATGTCTCGTACTGGACGATTCGCTAAAGCACACCAAAGCACAACTAGTTGTTGTAGTATGTCTTTTCCGAACACAAATCTGGAATATCGTATCTTGAAAATATGGAAAGCTGGATTTCGCACAACTATAGAGAAAAAGAAATCAAGAAGTCACCAGTCTAAGAGAAATCAAGAAATTGGCTGTGTCGAATATCGTCAAGGGCCGTGAATGTCGCCGAGCGCGTAGCGTCAGGTTCACCCGGTCTCCTTGCCGTGGTGTCGTTCACAAGAGCAATCACTGCCGATTTTCTCCGGACCCATGCATGTGCGGCGCGAATGCGCCTTAAGCGACGTCCTAAACCCGAAGAAACTGAGACGGCTAGCGGAAGGAAAATCAGCCTTCAAGACAGGAAGGACAGTCTTAACCATAAACCTTATGGCAGCAATTTCGCAAACAACGATCGAGAAAGGTCAAATCTCCCCAATAGCATAATGGCAACACATTAAAGATCTAGAAATCCATCCCAGCCATCATTCGCTGAAAAATACCTCCCACTCACATTATCCCTCAATTCACAGACCATCCCAATGTCACCGTCTCTGGGGAGGTTCCAAAGGATTTAGGACTCCAGCGAAAGGAAGAATCTTGGGTTTGGCATAATGAAAATACACATACCATCAGCTTACGCTTACGTGGTGGTTTGGGTTGGTGGTTTGGAAGTCTGGGAAATCACTGTTTACAACATATTTTACTTAAATTCAAAGTATGTACATAATCAATAATTTATAGTTAATTAATTTAGATAACAAAATTGTTCTGTATCTGATTCTATTTTTTTAATAATAAGTAAGTTTAATACTATTTATTTACCTATTGATAATTATATATATATTATTATATACAATCAGATGATAGACATGAGATGATACATGAAATAGATGGATAGGTAGGTAGATAGATTAATTAGATGGATGGATGGATGCATGGATGGATGGTGATAGATAGATAGACAGATAGATAGATAGATAGACATAGATTAATAAGACAGAAAGATAGATAATAGGATTGAAAGATTGGTTGATTCATTGATTGATTGATTGATTGATTGATTGATGTCATGAATGAAGACAGAAAGACAGATAATAGGATTGAAAGAGTGAAAGATTCATTGATTGATGGATTGATTTGATAAAGAGATTGATTGATTGATTGATTGATTGATGGATTGATTGATGGATGGATGGATGGATGGATGGATTGATTGATTGATTGTTGATTGATTGATTGAGTGATTGGTTGATTGATTGATTGAGTGATTGGTTGATTGATTGATTGATTGATTGTTGATTGACTGATTGAGTGATTGGTTGATTAATTGATTGATTTGATTGATTGATTGGATTGATTAGATTGATTAGATGGATTAGATTGATTTGATGGATCAGATTGATCTGATTGATTAGACATGATAGGTAACCAGATAGGTAGGTAGATTCTTACATATATATATATATATAGAGTAGATAGATTCAATAGAATAGGTAGGTAGATAAGACAGCCGGACCTGGCAGGAATCGAGCCTCCAAGAATTGTGTTTAACTTCATGTTCCCAAGTTAAATATTCACAACGCCCCATTGCTTGTGTCTTAGTATCTAATCTACTTATCTAATCTAACCTATTGTCTAATGTATCTAACCTAATCTATCTAAGATTTATCTAACTATTTATCTATCTATGAATTCTATGAATCTATCTAGCTATCTATCTATCTGTCTGTCTATCTATCTATCTCTCTCTCTCTCTGTCTATCTATCTATCTATCTGTCTATCTATCCATCTATCTATTTATCTATCTATCTATCTATCTGTCTATCTATCTATCTATCTAAGAGTCTATCTATCTATCAACTATCTATCTATCTATCTTTCTTTCTATCTATCTATCTAAATTAATAATTAATTAAATAATAATTGATTAATACTATCTTAACTCAGTCTGAGTCTGACCGGACATTCAGCCAGTCAGTCGGTCAAATGTCAGACTGTCAGAACTGACTAGAAGAAGGTGAGCAGGTGGGTGTGAGGCGAACTTGGTATCAGAGGCCCGTTGTGAGTTACTTCCACTGACGCACTGTGGTGCCTTGGGTGGGTGGGGTGGGGGGGGGCAACTTTCATAGTGGTAGCGGAGCATAAGGCAAGAGAGGAAATATAAAACTGTACTATACAGAGCCTGTACACAATCTAAACACTGGCCTTTCTAAACTAATTACATGCACCACTATACATAGATAGGTAGCCGGGTAGGTAGGTGGATAGGTAGAGAGAGAGATATATATATATGTATTAAATGATAGATTAGATAAGTAGATAAGACACTCCAACCATTGTGTTTAACTGCTTGTTTGCATGCAACTGTTCCCAAACAGCAGTTAAATTCACAACGCCTCATCCAATGGGCAACAAGTCTTCTGATATTAAAATTAGTTACCCCAGTCAGAAATCAGCAGAAATTTGGCACCAGGAAATAGTTTCTTGTTAATGGGGAAGTAAGTATGTTACTATCTAATCTAATAATCAATGATCAAATGTATCTAATCTAATCTATCTATCTACCTGTCCAATTTGATCTCATCTTATCTATTGTTCTATTCTTATCTATTTTTATCTGGTCTTATCTATTCCTATCTATTCTTATCTGGTCTCATCTATCTATCTATCTATCTATCTATCTATCTATCTATCTATCTATCTATCTATCTATCTATCTGATCTATCTGATCTATCTGATCTATCTGATCTATCTGATCTATCTGATCTATCTGATCTATCTATCTGATCTATCTGATCTATCTGATCTATCTGATCTATCTGTCTTATCTGTCTATCTATCTATCTATCTATCTATCTGATCTATCTGATCTATCTGATCTATCTGATCTATCTGATCTATCTGATCTATCTGATCTATCTGATCTATCTGATCTATCTGATCTATCTGATCTATCTGATCTATCTGATCTATCTGATCCATCTGATCCATCTGATCCATCTGATCCATCTGATCCATCTGATCCATCTGATCCATCTGATCCATCTGATCCATCTGATCCATCTGATCCATCTGATCTATCTGATCTATCTGATCTATCTGATCTATCTGATCTCTGATCTATCTGATCTATCTGATCTATCTGATCTATCTGATCTATCTGATCTATCTGATCTATCTGATCTATCTGATCTATCTGATCTATCTATCTGATCTATCTATCTGATCTATCTGATCTATCTGATCTATCTGATCTATCTGATCTATCTATCTGATCTATCTATCTGATCTATCTATCTATCTATCTATCTATCTATCTATCTATCTATCTATCTATCTGACCTATCTGATCTATCTGATCTATCTGATCTATCTGATCTATCTGATCTATTTGATCTATCTGATCTATCTGATCTATCTATGACTATATCTAATTATTTCTATCTGTTTCTGTCTATTAATTAATTATTACTATCTATTACTATCTATTACTATCTATTACTATCTATTACTATCTATTACTATCTATTATTATCTATTTCTATCTATTACTATCTATTACTTTATTAATCTATTTTTACCATCCACTGCAATCTCAATTAAACTTATATTAAAATTATAGATGAATAATTAATCTATTAATTATAGTCACGAACTTGCAGATGGAAAAATCAAAAATCACTACAAGTTGAAAAAATGACACATAGAACGCCGAGTGCGATCTAGCAGATAGAAATGATAGGTGAAAAAAACTCAACTTTACGTATATATTATACGTTTTCGTCACCTTTTTATGCCTAAAAAACAACAGATAGAACAAAATGTTAAAAAACGGGGATCAAAAACATCACAAAACCATGTATATATATATAATCTTGACATTTTCATCGCAGCTCGTCCGACGGGGAACTCAAAAGGCATTTCGCGTATATATATATACATATGTTGAACTCACTTTTCAATCCCAAAAATTAAGATGATTTTTTTTTGAATTTATTCTCCCCGTCGGACCCCTAAATCGAAAAAATGACAGATAGAAACGTTTTGAGATGATTTCATAACATTTTAATACCTTTTTTACATACCGTTTGCTTTGTTTTCCTCCTCTTTTTTTTTATTTTGATAGCAATTGATATAGAACGTGACATTTTTACTACTTTTTTACATACTATCTCCTCCCCGTTTTTCTCCCCTATTTTAAACTGATAGACAGTTACATTTTAATACATTGTTATATACCATTTGCTCTGTTTTCCTCCCCTATTTTAAATTGATAACAATTGATATAAAAAGTGACATTTTTACTACTTTTTTATATACTATCTCCTCCCCGTTTTTCTCCCCTATTTTACACTGATAGACAGTTACATTTTAATACATTTTTATATACCATTTGCTCTGTTTTCCTCCCCTAATTTAAATTGATAGCATTGCATAACATTTTAATACGATTTATATACTATTTGCTCTGTTTGACTCCCCTATTTTAAATTGACAGC